AGGGTCAGCGCCGAGAGAGCGGGCGCTGTCGGAGGGTCAGCGCCGAGGGAGCGGGCGCGGTCGGAGGGTCAGCGCCGAGGGAGCGGGCGCGGTCGGAGGGTCAGCGCTGTGGGCTGCAGAGAGACATCGGTTGAGTTGCGTTTATGTAATCTTCCTGTCTGGAAGGTCGCTGTGGGCTGGGGTGTGCAGGGAAATGGGGACTAGACAAATGCAAGTTGTGGCTCTGGGGGGACTGGGGAAGTGTGTGGGAGCGGGGGGCGGGGCGCTGGGGTGCCAACTCGCGGGGTTTTTGGTCCACGACACCCACGACCCAGTGACGTTAAACACTGAGAGATAAGGAGACAATGTTGTCTTCAGTTGTGATGCAGTCAACATTTGTTGCATTTTGTCTCTCTGCCTCTCTCGTTCTTCCGCATCCCTCCCCCGCTTCCTGAACCTTCCCTGCAGATTCCGAACGTTCCAGGAATCCTCACCAGCCTCGTACGGTTTTGGTTATTCTGGAGGTTCTCACCTGTACAGGACAAATTCCCCTTTCGGCCTGTTCAGGCCTGAGGCCTAACTCAGGCCTGAGGCCTAACCTGAGCCTGAAGCCTAACTCCAGCCTGACGCCAATACTTTTTGCCTCACTGCCTCTGGAAGGGGGAACCACATGCTAATCCTAAATCCCACAGGAGCAGAGAGACTTTTAAAATGATCCGCAGGGATTAAGGGATTGATCTGATTCACAGCCAACATGCTCTTGCCAAAATGTCAGATGAGGACATTGCAACTCGAGAGATATTCGTTGACAGAATGATCAGTTGTTTGCATTCTGATTTCAATCTTGAATCTTTTTTGAAATGTTTTCTGCTCACCACTTTGACCCTCACTGGGGTACGGGGTCCCACACACACACACACTGACTCTCACTGGGGTACGGGGTCCCACACACACACACTGACTCTCACTGGGGTACGGGGTCCCACACACACACACAGACACACACAGACACACACACACACACACTGACTCTCACTGGGGTACAGGGTCCCACACACACACACACACACACATACA